ATCCTCTGCCGTCCCCTTCCCCTTTTGCCTTCAATCTTTCCCAGCATCAGGGTCTTTTCCATCAGGTTTCTTTCTAAGGCTCTCTAAATTGGAGGTAGGGATTGCAGGCAGAAATTAGGAGCAAAATATGCACGGTACCTTTTGCATGCAAGTCTCTGTTTCAATCCTTGACATTTTCAGGTAAGTTGGAAAATATTTTTACCCAATATTGTAGAGAGCTGCTGCTGGCCAACAGAGAGAGATCATCCTTGATAGAAGAGCCCCAAAGTTTTGTATAACAATAATAATAACAATTATTAACAAGAGGATCCTGGTCTTATCCAATATTTTATAATTTCGGAAGCCACCTAGAGGCAATGGAATCAGGCAGTTTCTACATTTGCTAAACAAACAACCCAAAAGTCTAGATGTTCTGCAAATAATTCCTCCCTTTGTCAGGCACTTTCACTGCAACATTTCTACCTGCTGAGCAGTTTTGCAGTCCCAGGCAAACGAGAGCTTTCACAAGCCATTTAGTGGGCAACTCCTGGCCAGTTGCACATGGCTTCTAGATTGCACGGTGAACTGTGTCTCTCTGCCATCTTGGAATCAAATCCTCTGCTCCAAGTGTTCTCTCCCAGCTCTTCAGCTCACTCATTTCTCACATCATCCCCATTTCTTATTAACAGAGCAAAATGAGACAGTTGATTTGGGCATTTTGTCAATTGTTTTGAGTTTGGTTGCTTCTGGGCACACATCCAAAGTGTTAGGAAGCAGCAAGAGGCGGAAAGTCTCCTTATATCTCCTTCTCTGTTATGAAAGAGAGCCTTTCTGCATGTGGGAATGTCTGGAAGGGATGGAGGAGAGTATCAGTTGGAGTACTTGCTTCTGTTGTCCCAGCAACCCCAGCCCCAGAATTGCTCCTCTGCTAATGAAAGGAGAGAAGGTGGAAGGAGCAGAACCGTTCCCAGCCACTGCACCAGGCATCTTGGAGTATGCTCTGTTGCTTTCTCCCCTATTTATTTCTTTCATTTGTAACAAAAAATAGCCCACGCTTAAGATCCACACCCACCCTTCCAGGTGACCAAGAACGATTCAAGTCAGTACTAAGTTAAAATGATTTTTAAAAGAGAGCGGGTAAGAAAAGAGAGTTGACTGTCCTTGTCTACAGTTGGAGACTAAGCAGGATCAGATCTTATTTACAAGGAAGCCGAATGCAGGACGCTACACTGGGAAGTCAAAAAAATCTTGATGGCGGTAGTGGCAAGCCCTTTTGCATCCGTGAAGTCAGCTGGAGATTAGTGATGTCAGAGGAGATGTCGTGAACTCAGAAGAGACTTGGATGATTAAAGATGGTAAAGTTAGTAAAAGTGGATTAACTCAGGCAGAAGCGGCAGACAATGCGTTCAATAACATGTTGTACTATTTGTGAAGGGAATGTCTTCCTGAAGCGACACGTTTTGATCCATCAGTGAAAGGCCAGAGAGAAAAGGCTGCTAAACTGGCTTCCAGGGCAGGGAGTTCCGTGGTCTTAAAGCAGTGTTGTCCAAACTTGGCCACTTTAAGATGAGTGGACTTCAACTCCCAG